TGTTTTGGTGCTCCATATTGGAGGTAATGATCTTGGCCTGCTTAACGGCAGGGCCTTGTATCTACAAGCCCGTGCTGACATTGTGAAGATCTGGCAGGCATGGCCCCGGGTTCACATTGCTTGGTCGGCCATCATTCCACGCCTTCGGTGGCCAGGAGGCGGTGACGTCAGGAAGCTGGAGAGGGCCAGAAAGCGTGTGAACCGGGCCATGCGTACGGCTTTAGCACGGGGCAGAGGGTCTTACATCCAACATAAGGACATCACGCATGACAAAACACAGTTTTACCGTTCTGACGGTGTTCATTTAACAGATTTGGGTAACGCACAATTTTTAGCTGATTTACAGTTAGGCATTCAGGAAGTTTTAAGGGGCTTGGTGGGGGATGGGGGCGAAATGGACATTTGCCCCCAATCTGTGGCATAAATAGTTCAGGAAAACACTGACATGGAGGTATACACATGGCACCCATTAAGGGTGGGGGGCACTGTACAACAAACACTCACCTAGAAGTCAACTAATGGGTGAGGGGACTTTAATTGGCCCAGTAAAGCGAGAAGCTGATATCAATAATCGGACACAGGCTTCTCCAGAATTTTACCTTCAGGTTGCCTGGTTGGGGATCCAGGGCACACAGACATCACACACTAAGTAGCTGGGGACGCTGCCTCAGCTTGCCACCAAGTTCCTTGACACTTAGTTTAGTTCAGGTAAAGTTAAATAGGTAACATTCAATAAAAGTTGCCCAATTTGAATCCATACTCTTGTTGTCTGTCTCGTTATTTCAGGGGTTAAGGGGCAAGGGACTCTCCACACCAACGAGTTGGTGGGAGAGCAATTTGCCCCACCCCCTGAATGAAGAGATTAGGAGGTTCCGGTTAGAACCTCCTGGAAGAGGGGCGGGGGCTGGCTAACCACGTGAGCCAGCCTCCGTCCTTCAGTCTTGTTAGACTTTTCGCCCGCCACTCCCGCCCATTGACAGTATATTTGGTTGCCCGTTGGAGCCGGGTAGGAATTTTTTGCCTCTCATGTTCTGGGGGTTTTTTTCGCCTACCCTATACTGTTATTAGGGGCTAGATGGAGTGGTTTGGTTTAATTAGGCCAGCATAAATAGTTCAGGAAAACACTGACATGGAGGTATACACATGGCACCACTTAAGGGTGGGGGTCAGTGTACAACAAACACTCACCTAGAAGTCACTAAATGGGTGAGGGGACATCAATTGGCACAGTAAAGAGAGAAGCTGATATTAATAATCGGACACAGGCTTCTCCAGACTATTACCTTCAGGTTGCCCGGTTGGGGATCCAGGGCACACAGATATTACATTATGTAGCTGGGGACGCTGCCTCAGCTTGCCACCAAGTTCCTTGACACTTAGTTTAGTTCAGGTAAAGTTAAATAGGTAACATTCAATAAAAGTTGCCCAATTTGAATCCATACTCTTGTTGTCTGTCTCGTTATTTCAGGGGTTAAGGGGCAAAAGGCTGAAGGCTTGAGATCAAGTGTCACTAGCATGCTGAGGCTATCCAGCTCTATCACTCATTTTCAACTAACTCCAAGAAAGCTAGTGCTGTGCTAACTGGTGCCTAGAAGCTGTGATAGACTAGATGGGGGGAGGGGGTGGAAAACAAGTTGAAGCATAAGCCTGGTCATCTGAAATACAGATTAGAAATAGGGAGTCATCTTGTGTTATATGGGGTTACATTCTCTCTGAAAACACAGGTTCACTATTTGGAGATACTCCTGGATTCAATTCCAAGCCTGGAGGTCCAGGTTTCAGCAGTTGCCAAGAATGTTTTTGTACACTTATACGTAGTGCTTCAATTGGACCTGGCCATGGTGCTTTAGTTACATCTCATTTGGATTTCTCCAATGCACTCTATGTGGGGCTGCCTTTCAAAGGTGTTCAGAAACTTCAGTTGGCCCAAAGAGCCAGATTGTTAACTAGGGCTGGTGTAATAGATCTACCTTTCAGTCGGCTAGGCCGAAGCCTGCATGGCAGTGGCTGGCATCTTGGTAGTCAAGCAGAGCAGGAGGAGGAGTCAAGCTGACTCCTGATTGGGTATAGCCAGTAGGGGAGGAGTCAGTTTAGAGAGAGGGAAATAAGCTGCCTGTTTTGACAGAAAGAGAGAAGGGATTTGAACATCGAAGAGGGTAGATGGATTTTTAGGCTGGGGAGCTGAGGAGAATTTAGACAGAAGAAAGTGAGCTTTTGGGAGTGAGGCTTTTAGTCAGAGAGAATAAGACAGGGACAAGGGCTTGAAGTTTACTGTACAGAGTGTCAGTAAAGAAGACTTGTTCACTTGATGCTTATTGCTCTGAGGAGAGTATTAGTTGAGGACTAATTACTCTGTGAGACAGGAGAGTCTGTTCTCAGTGATTATACTGTTTCAAAAGGAAGTTGAACAGTATAGTTAAAAGAGACTCACAGAAACCCAAAGCTACATTCTTAGGGAAAACTGTCTAAACAGCTAAGCCTATGTAACTGAATTACGCTTTATGTGCCACTCATTTCCAACGAGTTGTTGTTAATATCAAGTTTAAAATAAACTCTTAGTTAACTTTTAATTGTTGTATGCCTCAATCCATCTGTTCTCTCAGAAACTCATTCAGTCTCAACACATTTTTAAAATTCAGTCATCCAGTGGAAGAAGCCATAGAAAATCAAGTGCTCAAACATCCATTACCTATAATACATTCACACCTTTTGGTTCCTCAGGCCAGTAATTCTGAGGTGGTGGCGGCAAATACTACCAAGAGCATTCGGTCACTTTCACATTTATCTTGTGGTCAAACCTCTAATTTGTATTATACTGAGGGCAGAGGTGTGATCGTTGTGTCCACCCTGCCTCGATAAGCATTTAACTTCTTTATAGCTGGTTATGAGGAGGACACAATTGTCTTGTTCCAACCCCTACAGTCCGCTGTCAGGCACAATTCAAAGTGCTGGTTTTAGTCTATAAAGTCTGGAACTCATTGCCCAGAGAGATTAGGAAAGCCCCTACTTTAGAAACCTTTAAAAAGAATCTCAAGACCTGGCTCTGCCGTTGCACTTTTGGAGACTAGTCACATAATCTTATGCTATCGCTCCCTCAACATTCCTGCCCTAAGAGTACACCCCCCCTTGTACAAAGGTTTGTTTATTTCCCTGTCTCTCTATGAGTTCTCCTTTACAAATAGTTCTGCCCTTTTACCTCACCCTGAGTTTTTAAATCATTTTATGTACATGTGGCCCGCTCATTGTCATTATGTTTGGTTTACAGTTTTTTATGTTTTGTGTTTATTTTTTATATGCTTATATGTTTTATGCTGTAATGTTATGTTGTTTATTTTATTGCAATTTGTATCTCATTGTATTGTAATTTGTTGTTTAGGCCTGGCCTCAGGTAAGCTGCTCCAAGTCCCCGTTGGGAAGATGGTGGCGGGGTATAAATAAAGATTATTATTAATAATAATAATAATAATAATAATTTTTATTGCTGGGGTCAATGTTATCTAAAAAGCCATATCTCCCTCTATGAGCCATCAGAGCTTTAAGATCATGAGACAAATAGAAGGGCCTCTCCAGATGTTCTTAGAGCTCTAATGCTTGTCAGGTTTATTTGCTGAGAAGAAGAAAAAAGGCATTCTCACTGGCTGTTCCCAGACTTTGGAACACTTTCCTCAGGGGGGGCAGGATGACCCATTTCGATCTTCTTCCATTGGCAGGTCAAAACATTTTTTTTGCAATCTGGCTTTTGCAAAGTCACTAGAGTTGAGCTTTCAACGCTGTTTGTTTGAAATGATTTTATTAAAGCTTTGTAAAGGTTTTAAGTCTTCTAATGCATTTCTAAATAGTTAATGTTTAAATATATAAATGGTTTCATAGAATCTTAGAATCATAGAATCAAAGAGTTGGAAGAGACCTCATGAGCCATCCAGTCCAACCCCCTGCCAAGAAGCAGGAATATTGCATTCAAATCACCCCTGACAGATGGCCATCCAGCCTTTGTTTAAAAGCTTCCAAAGAAGGAGCCTCCACCACACTCCGGGGCAGAGAGTTCCACTGCTGAACGGCTCTCACAGTCAGGAAGTTCTTCCTCGTGTTCAGATGGAATCTCCTTTCTTGTAGTTTGAAACCATTGTTCAAACTACAAGAAAGGAGATTCCATCTGAACACGAGGAAGAACTTCCAGACTGTTAGAGCCGTTCAGCAGTGGAACTCTCTGCCCCGGAGTGTTTAATTTATACTTTTATTTTAGCTTTATATTTTTTAAATTTATATTGTTTTAAGTGTGTGGTTAACTGCCTTGAACCCCATTATCAGAAGAGAGGTGGAATATAAGATAACAACAACAACAATATGTCTTATATTAGTCATTATTAACTTCAGTTCTAATAGATCTGTTCAAAGTATAACTAGGTTTGGATCTCATCCTTAAAAACAAGCAATTGGCCTTTGCTCAATATCCCACATTTTAAAACATACACCACAACTGATGATGTTACAGACAGCAATCTAATTTTTCCAAATAATCAAAATATTTGGATAGTCAATCATTAAAATAAATGAGGATATCTATTCACACAAAACACACACAGAACAAATTGAAGATACAAAATATTTGTATGAATAGAAATATTACACAATACAGATCCATCTGATAATCAAGGGACAGATACAAAGCAAAAATCATTTCTTGCATACATTTCCCTGTTAAATACATAGTAATTAATAACTACAAAACAGTCGAACATGGTTACGAAATGAAAGATGAAGAACTGTGTGAAGCCATGCTAAAATGGATAGAAGGATGGTTACTTACCAACAGGGCGAGCTGGAGACATTACAATGATGTGGTGAGAACGTAATGAAATCAAAGGAAAAAAAAGAAATTTTTGTCAGAATGCATGATGTGTAATGCTATGTTCAACTGTGGATACTCAGTTGAAAATTAAATCAACACATATCACCTTGAGTTAAATGCTTCTATTCAGGCTAGTTATTAAAACTATTTTTGTTGGAGATAAGTACTGTACAGCATTTGAAAAAGATGTCTCGAATCAATCATCTGAATAACACCTTTCATAGGTTCATATGCCACCGTCAAATGTCACTGCTAATGCTTGAGTGAAGTAAAGTAGCTTTATGTATTAGGGAAGACATTCAGACCTCAATGAATACATCATCTAAACCCACAGACTGGCAAATGCCAATCCAATAAAAAGAAGCATCACTGTCCGATTTAAATACCAATTAAGTTTAAAGCATGGCTGGTCAGTACTGTGGTGGAGTTTGGAGAAACCCAAGGCATCATTTCCCCACATTTTGGTAATAGACACACAAGCCCATGCCACATCCCTTTTCCAATCATCGACAAAAGGTGACAAAAATACAAAAAAGAACTCAGAATGACCATTAACGATGAATCTCCCAAATTGCTGCTTTCACTTTCTTTTTAAAATATGGAATGATCGACAGGTTGTTTCTGTTTCACAGAAACAAAGATTGAAAGCAGTTGCTGCAACAAGTGATTTTATTCTAGCAAGAGTGTCAGTACAGACTGAAGTGAGGGGAACGTGATCCTGTCACTCCTGCTTTTACTCAATGCATTTTAAGGAACAAGGCTACACATAAATTTTCCTGTAGGACTTTTTTCTTCAGTAGGTTAAATGTTGCAGAAAAGAAGGTTACTTTTAGTTTTAATATACTGTACTTCTGTTTCCTTTTTCCCCATTTAATTGTGTTCGTTAAGGAACAATATATATTTCAGAATATTTTACGTTTTTCTAGTTTTTCATACTAAAAAACCCCCTTTTCCACTGTGATCAATCCATCAACAAATGCTGTTCTCGATAACTGCTACTCCACTTTAGTAGACTACAAAGACAGGAAGTTACACAATGAATATCAGATGTCATTGTTGCCCCTGATGGCAAAAATGGTAATGTAAAGTTTTTAACCCACTTTCTAACATAAACCTGTGAAGTGGTTTTCAACAACTGCATAGGAAATTCACCAGTATACAACCAGCAGTTAAGAAAGGACATTTTTCAGACCAAAGGCTTTTGAAATTAATTTATCTTTACCACAGGCTTTATCCCAGATAATTCTAAAAGAACCATTAATCTAGTTTAGTTTGCTTTCTCCATCTGTGGACAGATCATTTAAGGAAGATTATAACTGAACAGCATTCTAGCAAAGTATGTATCTCTCAGGCAGAAACTGACACTGTCCACTCCTGCTACAAATACACTTGTAGATATGTCAAATGATCTTCAGGTCCACATATGTCATTTTCTATTTAATTTAACAAATCCTGTGGATGTGGTTTAGCCTCAGGAAAGAGTAGATGCTGCACAGTTACATGGGCAGTGGAGAGATGGGCTGAAGTTCTGTCTGTCTTAATTTGGATTTGAGCAAATAAATGAATTCTCACTGCAAAACCTTCAAAAGATCATTCACATTCTCAACCTGTTTTTGGTTGCTGTTATTTTCTTCCAATTACTCGTAGGAATGTTCTTAACTGGATAGCCTGAGCCTATACATGCTTTCTAGGAGAGAGGCCTTATAGAATTCATGGATTCACACCATAGCAGTTTCAATGATACACAGCATGAGATTTGATTGATACAGTTCTACTGACATTGTTTTTTAAAATATATATATAAACTATGTCAGACCTTTATGACATTAGGTAAAAATGTTTTTTTAATACAAAAAGCCCCACAAAAACAAATCTGATATAATAGTCGGAGTATGAGTGTTTTACCTAGGAGTAATTTTACCTAGGAGTAATTCTGAAATGAACAGAATTTTCTTCTGACAACACATATTTAGGATCACTCTTGCGTATTTACTGATCTTAATAATTTAAGAACGGAAACTTAATCTTATACATTCTTTGAAAAGTTCTCAAGTTTTAATTTTTCAATGTTTTCCATTTTTACTTTTGAGACCCTATAACCTAAGTAAGTATAAAAAGAATTATATTCTGGATCTCAAAAATTATTTTTCAATTGTTTTTCAATTGCAATTGTTTTTCAGGAAAAGAGAAAGCTTTCTGCTGATCCTGCAGACACATAAAGTTATTTTCCTTTGGTAATATGCATATTAGAAGATATTCTTCTATATTACATGTCCCACCCATTGGGTTCAATACTAAGATTAAAGAAAATGGAGAGTGGGCTTTTGTTTCATAGAAAATTACAGCACAACCAGTAATTTCCTGCAGGCTCAGGACTACCAATTAAAGGAACCCCTGCCCAATGTTACTGTCTTCCTCTTTTGTCTGTTTTGTTACTGTAAGCTGCTCCAAGTCCTGCTTGGAGAGGCGTAGCAGATAAAGATTATTATTACCACCACCACCACCACCACCACCATCATCATCATCTTTGGGCAGATCTTGTGAAAATGTGTAAGTTTGTATCTCTCATACTAAGCAGTAATTGTTAAGACATTTTCTGTTACTACAGAATTGTACAATTCCAACATTTTAAAATAATAATAAATGAAGCAATACTGAGGACAAGTAAAATATGCATGCTGGCTTTACTTGAGTCTTTCTCTGACTTTCAGCAAAAGTATGTAGAATTGAGTGGAAGGAAAAAAACTGCCACCAAACACATGTCACTGATACAGCTGATGAGATGCATATGGGGGTCCCAATCACACCCAAAAAGCCATGCTTATGGGGCACACCAAGAAAAAAAAAGACTGGTGAAGACAATTTGAAAGGTATTGGCTGGATACTCTTTGCATACGACCATACAGCTTGCATATGAAACTGGCATTGCATCATGTAATAATACCCATGGGGACTCATATGCAAGGGGTGTGAGAGACAGGTTTATTTACTTATATATTTAATTTATTTATTTCTGTTTCGCTTTTCTCGCAAGGGGACTCAAAGCTGCTTACAACCTATAAAATCAGTCAGTTGCAGTCACAAAGACAACACAAATACCCACACAACAATGAGCAAATTACAACATTTAAAACATTAGGAAAAATTCCAATTTCCCACAACAAAAGACAAAAAACTGATAATACAAACATATTAAAAATACAATTTCTAAGCCATACAATATTCTATTCCTTTAGGCTGTAAGAAACACTTAAATCTTATAAATGGCCAGAGATTGAGCACAGCGACCAGTTTTCCCATTTTTCCCATTGTGTTAAGTGTAGGAATATTATTTGTACCAATGATTTGTGCTATAAATGAAGTTGTAAGGAAAGTTGAAGATTATACGTGATGAGTGCTATTCTTTCTGCAAAAATGATGATGGTGGAGGCAGCAGTGCGATGCTTTCTCCTCAAATATAACCCTTGTTTTTGCATTTCTCAAAACGAAAGTACAAAATGAAAATTTACTCAATAAAGGCAAAATGTATGTGAACTTGTTTCACAGACTGATGAAAATTTATGTAGTACAAGTGTTAATAGTACTCTGAAGTGAGTCTTAACAGTAACATTTAGGCAGCTAGATTATCAGAGAACCTCTTTCTCTCTCTCTATGTCCAGACAACTCTTCACCTTCTCCATCTCTTATTAAGTTCTGAGCTTTACATTTTTTCCCCTTTCTCAGGCAGAAAATTCATCAGATTAAATTAAACTGTGGCTATGTATTAAATGTATTAAATGATGGAAATGAAAGCTAGTGCCTTAGGTCACTTCACCTCTGTTTTAATAAACCAATCTGCCCAGGCTTTGATCATCGGCCTTAATGCGTGCAAAAGAGAAATGAACACCGATAAAGCTAAATTTTCATTAACCTTTCACAGTTTTGCTGAACTTTTGGTACTTTCTGATGGAATGGGAAAAAATAAAATCCATTTGCTATCCATTGAAATAAATATCTGGTTCTATATAGACACACAATTATAGTACAATATGTGTTTCTTATAAACACTTACAGAAACACAGTAGCATTTTCAGAGTGAACTTACATCACTCCCCATCTTAATATGGCTGTCAGGTTTCAAGATAACTGTGCTCCACCCCTGGCCATTTATAAGGTTTGATTGATTTTATTAGTAAGTAATAGCACTACCACACAGAGTCAGAGTTGAAAGGTGCATCTTTCAAAGAGGGATACAAGAAGCAGGAAAATGAATGAACTAGACTAACTTCTGTCCCTCAAAGTAATTTGTTAGAGACTTCTTGAATAAATATTTTATCTACAATAAATTCAATGAAGGGTCTCTTTTGACTTCACAAAGACTTTTTCTGTCACCATCAACCCTCAACATAGTCCTACAGAACTTTGGGCTACTTCAGCCAGGCAGCTTATGTGCCAGAAAAAGAATAATTCAGTTTAAGGGGAGAGCAAGTGGAATAGGTGTTTTCTATATTATTTTGAATTATAACTCACTTTCTGTACTTTGAGCTATAATTTTTTCAGATACTTCCTCCTAGTGTACACACACACACACACACACACATTCACACACACAAAAGACATACATAGGCTTTGTCATAATACTTCTGTTCTGTCATTCAGCCCTTATTTCAGAAGTATTATTAGGGAAAAGGGAGATTTCTGGTAAAACAAACACCAGAGAGGCTATAACTTCCAACTGCAGCTCATCATTCAACATTTTCCATCCACTGAATGTAATTTTAGATCTTCTAGAGCTTTAGATCTTCTAGAGCTCCCTAAATTATTGCATCTCATTTAAAAACATTCTTCTCTCCCCTACTCTCTATTTTTTTATTTCTATGTGTGAAAGCCCAAGAGGCAAAACCTTTCATTGGCATGTTCACTGGACAGTAATGATAAAAAGTGTATATTACATGATCAGCAATAAAAACCGTGGAAACACCAGACAGCAAAACAAAAACAAAATATAATTAATCAATAACAAGTATTGGTTTTAAAGTAAAACTGATCTAAACCAAAATAAATTTGGTTAGTGCAGATGGTGATTGAGAACACATTTCTATTCAAATCTCCTTCTCCAATAGATTTTGTGATTTGTGATTGTATTTTTAATGCCATCTCTTACATTAAAAAATGAAGTGCTTGGAGTTCCCATTTTCATGATTATAATAGAGGTAGTTATTTGGTAGAGTGCATGTTTTGCATAGAAAAATCCATACTCAATCCCTGGAATGTTCACTAAGAGAGCTTTGATATTGTGGGCTGAAAAATCTCCTGCTGAAACTCTTTAATTTAATATGCTATTTAATATCTACATGAAACCCCTGGGAGAGGTCATCCTGAGTTTTGGAGTATGGTGCCACCTCTACGCAGATGACACCCAACTCCACTACTCATTTCCACCAGATTCCAAGAAAGCCCCTCGGATACTGGACCAGTGCCTGGCTGCTGTGGCGACCTGGATGAAGAAGAACAAGCTGAGGATCAATTCTGACAAGACAGAGGTCCTCCAGGTCAGTCACTCAGCTGACCGGGGTATTGGGTGGCAACCTGTGTTAGATGGGGTTGCACTCCCTCTGAAATCACAGGTCCACAGTTTGGGGGTCCTCCTGGACTCAGCACTGACACTTGATGTGCAGGTGTCGGCGGTGGCTGGGAGGGCCTTCGCACAACTAAAACTCGTGCACCAACTGCGACCTTACCTCATGAAGTCTGACTTGACCATGATGATCCATGCCTTAGTTACCTCTAGACTGGATTACTGTAATGCTCTCTACATGGGGCTACCCTTGAAGACGGCTAGGAAATTACAACTTGCCAAACATTCGGCAGCCAGATTAATAACTGGGGCAACTTATAGTGAGTGATCAACCCCCCTGTTTAAGGGGCTCCACTGACTGCCGTTTATTTTCCGGTCCCAATCCATGGTGAAGGTTATCATCTACAAAGCCCTAAACGGTTTGGGACCCGCCTACCTTCGTGACCATATCTCCCTCAATGAACCATCTCGGGCCCTCCGATCCTCTCAGGAGGCCCTGCTCTCGCCACTGCCAGTGTCACAAGCTCTCTTGGTAAGTACAAGGGAGAGAGCCTTTTCTGCCATAGCCCCCCGACTCTGGAACTCACTGCCTGGAGAAATTAGGAAAGCTCCTTCTCTAGAAGTTTTTAAGAAGATCCTTAAAACCTGGCTCTTCCACTGTGCCTTTGATTAGTAGGTATACAATTTCACATGACTGTTTAGTTTAAAGTTCTGTCATTGGAGTAGATAACCCCTGCCATAATGAGCAGTACTCCGCATATTACCTGCTTCTCTCTTTTATCTTGTCTGAGTTTTAATTAGTTTTAATTAGTTTGTTTTTTTAATCATTACATGTAGCCCGCCCATTGTCTCTGTGCCTGTGTCTATTGTAATTCTTATATTGTTATGTATTCACATGTTTTATGTAATTATGATGTTGTTTATTGTTTGCATTTTTGGTTGTGTTTCGGTTTTCTTATTGTAATTGTTGTTCGGGCCTGGCCCCATGTAAGCCGCTCCAAGTCCTCATTGGGGAGATGGTGGCGAGGTATAAATAAAGATTATTATTATTATTATTATTATTATTATTATTATTATTATTATTACTAAAGATGCTCTTTATCTTCATCCCCTGGATGTAAGAGCTCCTTATATCATAAGCTATAATTTTCAAACAACTAATGATTGAACTAATGTCAGCAGAATGAAACTGAAAGAAAAGGAAGACAAGTATATCAGGTAAGGTAAGGTTTTCCCCTGACATTAAGTCTAGTCATGTCCGACTCTGGGAGTTGGTGCTCATCTCCATTTCTAAGCCAACTAGCTGGCATTGTCCATAGATACCTCCAAGGTCATGTGGCCGGCATGACTGCATGGAGCGCCATTACCTTCCCACTGGAGCAGCACTTACTGATCTACTAACATTTGCATGTTTTCAAATTGCTAGGTTGGCAGAAGCTGGGGCTAACCATGGGAGCTCATGCCTCTCCCCAGATTTGAACCTGCAACCTCTTGGTCAACAAGTTAAAGCAGCTCAGCGCTTTAACCCACTGTGCCACCGGGGGGGGGGGGGGGGGGATGCAGTATATAGATATTCTAAAATTATATAGACTAAAATAGTTATTTATTTATTTACGCTATTTATACCCCACATTTCTCAGCCATATGATGACTCAAGGTGACTCAAGGTGGGTTACAAGCCAATAAAACATGTAATCTCTGGTGTCATCCTGTTAAAATCAATTACCAGTAACATTGTCCAGTAACATCGATATCCAGTAACATTGTCTTTTACTTTATCTTTAAAATATAACATCAACTATTTCAAGAGATTCTTCTGAAATCATACATTCCTAATATTTTAGAAAACAGAACAATACATTCAGTGTTATTGTGTCTTTCCAATACATTAATACTCACCTCTAACTGTGAGAGTAGCAGATGCTTCAACTTTTCCAACTCTGTTCTCGGCTATGCATGTATAGGTTCCCTCATCTGTGCTCATAGCCTTTTTAATACGCAAAGTGTAGTCATCTTTGATATCATATCTGCATTTGAAATTGAAAAGATGAAAATCACAGCTCAGCTTAATTTCTCACCTGCAATGTTCAAGAGTTATTCTATCTTGGATGCATTTCTTGGGAGATAATTTATTATATGGAATTAGATAATTCTACTGAACATTAATCTTCATGACACTTTTATTGCACCATGCATTACTTTAAAACTTTACAGCTGTAAAATTAGTATTGCTATGTTCATGTGGTATCAAAGCTTTATTAATAATATCAGTCATTCTGTCCTTGATCTAGAGCACTAAGATAAAACAGAGCTAACATGCATCAGTTATCAATATATGACATCTTCCGTTTACCCTGGCTCTAACTACACGAGTTGCATATTTAACTCATAATATTCTTTAAAAATATTAATACTAATGCAATGCTGAAAATACAAAATACCTCACAAAAGACAAACACATGAACAAAAATTCCACACCTATAAAACAATTCAGCTTCACAGCAGTCTTTCAATAACAATGATATAATCTTTGGTGGTGATGATAAAATACTAATTTAAAAACACATTGTAAAAAAAGGATTGCAATACATTTGCTCATGAATTGAATGTTTTGAATTAGATAATTCTTTACCACATTTCATTAAAGAAAATACCAAATATCATATATCTGTTTACAAAATTGACGGGAACGGCTTAATTCTGTATTTTAAAGGGGATATAAAGAAACTAATGAGATTAAAAAATGATAGGGATAACTACAGAAAAATACTGTCGTAATGATTAAAAATGAACAAACAGAAAGATAAACAAAAATTAAGTAGCAGTCCGGTCCTTTAGCATAACAAACAAAAGAATATACCACTCCCTTTAGACAACCTATATGATCTGGAAAGTGCAAGATTTCAATATAGAGGGCAACATGTGATGTTCTTTCTGTTTGGTTTTCCTATAGAAGATTATTAAAGGAACTAGTTTATTCCTAGAAGTATATATGTGGTATGTTTGATAGAAGAACATGAGCCATAGGACACAATTAGATATGGAAAATAAGAAAGTAAGCAACCCAAAGCACAAGGAGAGACAATTAGTCTACCAGTCCTTACAAGTCTACTAATGAACTTCAGACAAAAATGATCCACAAGTAAAAATAGCATATATACCAAATTAAGTTGTGCATTAATAGGTCAAATTAACTATTGATAACTCAATGGATGAGCTTGTAGTTCTCCTGGATCACTTTCAGTGAATTCAGTCTTTATAGAATGAAGAAAGTACATTTTCTTTCTCCACATATAGTAAGATTCCATCAGTTCTGCTCCCTTTACCTTTTTAATCAAGAAAAAAAAACAGAGGTACACGCAGGGCACACATACACCTGATGTCTAACTAAATATAAAGAATAAGACTTGATGCAATATGGTACTTAATTCTGTGTGTTTTCCCCTGTTCTCATCCCCCCCCTCTCTCTCTCTATATATATATCTATCTATCTATATATAATAAAGGTGAAAGTTTGTATGCGGAGGACAAAAGTGTGGCGGTGTATGTGCTAGCTTTCTGATTGGCTGCCACTGTGGTCTCTTATTGGCCAGCCTGAAATTCCAAGATTCCGATTGGCTGGGCAGCGGTGCTATTTATGGTCTCTGATTGGCCAGCTTCAAGAGGAGCCCCTGGTGGAGAAAAGAGTTCATGGCAGAAACGGGGACATGAGAAGGAAATTTGCATATGGTCTCTGATTGGCCAGCCTCAATTCCAAGATTCCGAGATGACAAAGAGAGGAAAGGAAAAGGCCAGAGGGGGCTGAGTCAGAAAATTACCAATACAGACCACACTTGGCACACAGAGCCTGCAAGACCGACTCGACATCCTACTGCAACCATGGATGATGGGACTTGCAGTACCATCACTCACATTCTGAGACCGCTGTTAACCTCATCCAATGACTGATCAGGACCAAACTTGGCACATAGACCTCTCATGACCCACCTTATGTCCTGGTGTGGTTTGGCCGGGGATGGACCATGGATTATGGGACTTGCAGTACCTTTGCTCAATTCCTGAGACCACTGCAACCCTCATCCAATTACCGATAAAGACCAAACTTGGCACACTGAGTCTCCATGACACACTCTACATCCTGGTGCAGTTTGGAGGAGGATGCACCATGGACGATGGGACTTGCAATACCTGCACTCCCTTCCTAAGACCATTACAACTGCCAACAATGATGGATCAGGACCACAATTTACACAGAGAGTCCGCATGACCCACTCTACATCCTGGTGCGGTTAGGAAAAATTTGTCAATGGATGATGGGACTTGCAGTCACTTCACTCACTTCCTGAGACCACTGACTGATCAAGACCAAATTTGGCACACAGAGTCCCCATGACCCACTCTACATCCTGATGCACTTTCGAGGAGGACAGACCATGGATGATGGGACTTCAAGTACCTCCACTCCCCAAGACTGCTGCAACCCTCATCTAATGTCCGATCAAGACCAAACTTGGCACACAGAGCCCCATGACCCACTCTACATCCTGCTGCAGTTTTGGAGGAGGACGGACAATGGATGATGTGACTTCCAGTACCTTCACTCACATTCTGAGACCTCTGCAAACCTCATGCAATGACTGATCAAGACCAAACTTCGCACATAGACCTCTCATGACCCACTTTACGTCCTGGTGTCATTTGGAAAAAAATGGAGATGGATGATGGGACTTGCAGTAACCTCACTCACTTTCTGAGACCACTGAGACCCTCACCAATGACTAATCAAGACCAAACTTGGCACACAGAGCCCCAATGACCCACTCTACAGCCTGGTGCAGTTTGGAGGACAGACCATGGATGATGGGACTTCAAGTACCTCCACTCCCATCCCAAGATTGCTGCAACCCTCATCTAATGACCGATCAAGACCAAACTTGGCACACACAGCCCCCATGACCCACCCTACATCCCGGTTCTGTTTGAAGGATGGACGATGGATAATGGGACTTGCAGTATGTTCACTCACTTCCTGAAACCATAGCGACACTCATTTAAAAACCAATAAAGACCAAACTTGGAACATAGAGCCCCCATGGCGAACTCAACATTCTGGTGAGGTTTGGGGGAGTACAGACTATGGATGATGGGACTTCAAGTACCTCCACTCACTTCCCAAGACCTCTGCAACACTCATCTAATGACCGATCAAGTCCAAACTTGGCACACAAAACCCCCATGACCAACTCTCCATCCTGGAGCAGTTTGGAGGGGGATGGACCACAGATAATGGGACTCACAGTAACAACTGCGAGTCATATAAATAACTGATAAAGACCAACCTTGATACACAATTCCTTTCTCAAATAACCCGGGCAGCGCCGGGTCCCCAAGCTAGTATATATATATAATCTTCCTGCTCTTTCCCCATATGAAGATCTATGGACACCATCACATGGGTCAAAATAAGCATCCTAGGACATTGTCTGTGGCTCTGCACCAACTGGGCTAAAAGCATTGTGAGATGCTTTCACGGCAACATGGGATACTTTCTGTGTTGTGCTGGCTCCAATAGCTCCCTGCAAGGACAACACTTTCTCCCTGTGATAGGGAAAGTGTCATGAGAGGAAGGTGCACATGGGGCAAGAGATCCACCATGGTGCTCCCTTTTTTTCTTGTCAGAAAGGTAGTATGCAACACTCTCTGCATTTTTATTTGGTATGACCAAACATTTAGACAGGCATAACCAACATGAACTTTAGAATTTACTGTTTTAGCTGACTCATTCACACTTCATCTTCTTGGCATACCAAGAAGCTGCTTAGAATAATTTATGTTCATACCTATCAACCACACAAATATTTGACAGCTGGTGAGTTTTAAAACCTTATATGGTGTGCCAGGACAAAAAATAACCACAACTATTTTACTCAGGAATACCAACTCACTGCATTCTGGTCTGCCACATTATCAGTGAACTTCTAGACCACCCTGAAGTGTCATGCTCTCTAGCAAACAGCTAGTGTATGGCAAGACTCATGGGGCATTGCAGCCATCTGGTCTCCTAAAGAATTGATGTAGTGTCCCATAGTCATCTGTTCTACTCACGCTGCCCACACAAGTCATCATGGTTCAGTGATAATCTATGACAGGTGAAGCAAGCAAATAAAAGAATGGAAAATAATTGACTCTTAATACACTGCACTGAAGCAAAGGACTACTGTAAAACAGAAGGTTACAATTACACATATAAGTGGGTTTTAGAGTAAATAATGGAAAATGTGTTTAGTTTAGCTTTAAGGAGAAGCCAATCATCAGTTCAATACAGAATATAATCTACATTCCGTACAACAACAGAGTAATAATATTTGCTCAATACACAAAAAGACTTATTGTTTCAGATAATGATAAACCCAATCAACTCGTTATTTTAGCATTAGTGAATAGCACTCATGTTTTAAGAATAATCACAGAATATAGAATTGGACAAGACCATAAGGGCCATTCAAACAACATCAAAGCATACTTGACAGATGAACATCCAATGTCTGTCTACAAACTTCCAAGGAAGGCAATTCAGCTATAGTCTGAGGCAGTGTATTCCACTTTCAAACAGCTTTCTCTTACTATCAGGGAGTTTTCCTAATATTTAGATGGGATCTCTTTTCACATAGTTTTAATCAGTTGGCACATGTCCTAGTTTTTGAAGTAGCAGAAAACAAGTTTGCTCCATCTTCAATTGCTATAGCTATAGTAATAACTATAAATCTAATTAAATTTCCTAGATGTCTGGTGTCTGGTGATTGGACGAGTCAGTGTAAATCACAAATGTATTTAGTGTAGAGAATACTTTCTTCAGTTCTTACATATATACATTTCAGTTTAACTGAAATTCTTTTTACAAAAAATAAAAAGTAAACCCAATTAGCATCTTCTAAAGCCTCCAGTTTCAAGGAGAGCGACACCTATTGGCAAATCCTTTCTAGCATTCTTATGGATAACTCAGATTGGTGGTCTGTAAGAATTCACT